TTTAAATTTGGTTTTGAATGTCAATTTCAGCGTCAAATGACAGCTTATTGAACGCTGATTCCAAAAACATATGGTTTCTATACAAAAAAATATAAATAAGGGAGATAATGTTTTACTTCCGGTTTAAAAGATGTTACTTTCGGTATTGTTTGATAGTTTAGTTGACACTGATTCCAAAAATATATGGTTCTATATACTTTTACATTAATTTAGTACAAAAAATAGCTACTTCCGGTTTACAAAAGGTCACTTCCGGTTGGCTTTTTCAAGGTCACATTGCTTGCAACCTAATGCCACTAGTCCCATGTCTTTATCATGTATACATATGAGGTAAAAGCAAAGGTCAAAATCTAGAACGTTAAATTTAACTTTGACCTTGAGCTCAATTTCAAGATCATAAACCAAGGAACTCAAATCAAAAGACTCTAGGTCTTAATTATATATGATAAATGAGTTATATCACCATACGTGTAATTTTAGATATACTAGGGGAGAAAACTCCCATTAAATGTCTCCGTACCCTTTCAACTCAAATTTACATGTTACGACATGTCGCAACTATCAATTCTGTAAAAAATATGTTGTCGATATCTTATAAGATTTCTGAAAATTAGTGATAACAAGCTAAAATCAAAATTTTGATCATGACCTTGACCTTTGACCTTGACCTCATTTTCATTTTTTTGGACCAAGGACCTCAAATCAAAAGACCCTAGGCCTCTATCACTTATGGTTTTCCAGTTAAAAATACATTTCATTTATATCAAATACAAAAGGGGGAATAACTCTCATATAGAATCTCTATACGGCTTCGGTCAAAATAAAACAGAACATCCTGAGGATACAACGAGCAATTTGGAAAAATAAATTTGTTGGTTTTTTATACGGTTGCGAAGCCTTAGAGATAACAAGAAAAACAGTGTTCGGGGAGACAACTCTTATATGGGAAAGTATTCAGTTAAGCGGTGTCAGTTTCAAAAGCGTATAAACTGTTCGATATCATATTCCAAATATCTAAGCGACATCTTGCGAAACAAAAAAACAGCGAAGGAAAATAATTAGGCGGAAGAAAAAAAAAAAAAAATAATAATCAGAAGAAAACCAATAGGTCTTTCCACGGAAAAGTGGAAAGACCTAATAATCAGAACAAAACCGATAGGTCTTTCCACGGAAAAGTGGAAAGACCTAATTAAAGTGCATGTATTACTTTGAATGACATGAAAGCTAACATCCCATCTCCTTTGTTCTACCAGGGTGTGATCTGAGCCGGATCATCACTACCAGATCACCCCAGCTTGAGTTTCTTTGTTTTGCATGCTTTCCTTTGTTTTGTAAGGGGGGGGGGGGGGGGGGGTCCGGGGGTTTGAACCCCCCTTTTTTTGGACGATCAATGCATTTGAATGGGGATATATGGTTGGAACCCCCCTTTATCCTGGGTTGGGAACCCCCCTCCTTTTTAAAATGACTGGATCCGCCCCTGGTGTACAGTAAGATCACCCTCCGGCGTCACATACCACGTCGTCATGGAATAACAAGTACCTACAAATCCTTAGAATCCTACACTACCAAATGGTCATCTGTTGAGTGAAAGAAATTGGACTTGTAACTAATTTGTAACTTTCGGAAGAGTACCCTGTGTCAGCACGCGTACGACAATCTCAGAGAATTAATGAAACGCCTCTTTATTCCTGGTTGATAGCAGAGAACGAAGGAGTCATGTAGGTGCAATGCTGTTCAAATTGCATAGAAATAAAATATCCATATTGTGAAAGGGTTATGAAACTAGAAACGTCACTCGACAAAAAAATATTCTAGAAAGACAAGATGGAAAATTAGTGTTAAAAAGGTCTCATCTGAGTACTATTATCAGGCATGTCGAGTACAATGCCAGCTTTTAGTTTGTGAAATGGAATTTGTGTGACTTTATTGTAAGGACTGAAGTTGATTTCCATGCTGAAATGATTGCTGGATTGATTATTTGTACTCGTCAGACGGTGTGCAAACTTAATAAAGAGAATGTGCCCGATTGGTTGCGACAATCGAAACTGTATGTTCGTATAGTTTCATTTCAAGTGTGTGAAATTAAATGTGTCCAAAAAGTAGATTGGATATGTTCTGCTTGCCGAAAACTTTCAAATAATAAATATTTGTGGTGTATAATACTTTTTTATTTTTTTCAAACATATATTTTCAGTGTAAATAAGGTACATGTATAGATGATTAAAAACTAAAAATGGGGTATACAATGTACAAATGTACATAAATGAGACAGCAACCTAACATTGACCAAAATTAACCATCTCAAGTCTCTGGTCCATGTTTTACCATTGTCAAGTCAACATCCGGTATTAGGAAAAGGTGCCTTTTAAAAACGAAAGTAAAGTTTCTGATATCATGCTTTTGCATTAATAAAGAGTCTAAGGCATATTTTAGTAATTAGCTGATTTTGCACACTTCGAATGATGCACTGTCAATTAACAGTTTACGTCGGAACATTGAATTTATATCATAAGTCTGAAGCTTAATATCGTTTTTTATCGGTCGTCCCACTGTCTATATCACTCTGCTCAGCTCTTTTAAAATAAAATTGCTTATCATATACTTGTATAAAATATTACTAAAATTTTACAGTTCAATAACATTTAAAAAATATTAAAAGGCTATGAAAGGATTACTAGGTTTATTTATCAGATTCCAAAGAATTTCCTCAGCGGGCTGATAAAGGAACCTTTATTGACTGCTTCCGGAATGTTATCACATGCCTTTCCGTTAATTTCCGTGACGTTTATCACTTGCAACGTCGTGCATTTCCGGAAATTTGTTCGAAAACGACAACACAGTGCGGAAAACCGCAAGTGATTTAAGACTTTCCACAAAATAGTTGAGGAGCAAATTTCAAACTAAGAACATGTTAATTGTTGTGACAAGATAAATAAAATGTTTGTAATATCAATAAAAACAATAAAAGTTAAGACATTTGTATTTGGTTGTCTGTAAATTATTATCTAAAAATTCATGGAAAGACAAAATTTTAATTAATAGTTCTTGTCTGTATTTCTTCTGTTGAAGTATATGATAAAAAGATAATTACATGTCATTTATCATATCAGACCCTTTATCGGCCCTCGTTCATGATATCTTTTGATATGAAAAATGCCATGTAATAATCTGATAATATCACGGTTTTGTGACGTCAAATACATTGACCCGGCCTTAATAACTTTGACCCGGACATATCAATGACGTCATAATGTATGAACCGACGTTAAAAAGTTTGACCCAAACTTATCAAGACGTCTTCCGGTTTGCTGGTGAAACAAAAAAAAACCACTTGTTTCTATCATGATTGATTGATTGTTGGTTGCTTAACGTCCTTGTTTCTATCATGCAAAATACGCTTATACAACCCGATAAACCGTTTATCTGGTTGTCTGCATATTGATATTGTAAAATATCAGCTGCTCGACACAATATGAAGCCTTTTGAACTGGGTCGCTGCCCTCACTCGACAAATAGCTTCATATTGTGACTCGCAGCTGATATTTTACGATATCAGTATGCAGACAACCTGATAATCGGTACATGACAATCATTCTTATGACGCCCAACTGATTACCATGATTGCCTTTCATTAATAAGTCTAAAAGGATTAAAATCGGGATAAGAAAATATGTCCGGCTGGCTCAAATATTTTTTGGAAGCCCTGGTGTCAACCAACAAATTTCAAGAAGAAAACATGGTCATCAACACTAGACATGTGTCTATACAATACATATAAAAGTAAGAAGATGTGTTATAATGACCAATGAGACAACTCTCTGCCAGAGACCAAATAACATTGAGATAACAACAATATGTCACCGCAAGGCCTTCAAAAATGAGCGAAAACCATACCGCATAGAAAGCTATAAAAGTCCCTGAAATGACAAATGTATAACGTATCAAGCGAGAAAACTAGCGGCCTGATTTATGTACAAAACAATAATTGAAAAACAAATATGTTCAAACATTATATATGGCAAGATCTAAATCGACATCATCACCTAGTTCTCAAAATAACCCTCCAAAAAAGACAATTGTAAACTATGACAAGATAACTACTGATAAGGTGAAGGTTTTTTGGCCGGAGATGCATATCTTGAGTGAGGTTCAATAAATAAATAATAACTCAATTAACCCTACATCTTACAACATGTACAACTAAATACATTTTACTATACATGTAGGTACATGTACAATGAAAAAGGGATACAAGAAAGACACTTTATAAACAATTTTATATCGTATTAATGAATGATAGTGGTTATGCGTCTCATTGGCAATCTAACCACATCTCCTTATTTTTTATATCAATGTTAATAAAATGCTCGACAGGTCGCAGCTTGATGCGACCACAAACCATGAACAGTTGGGGCAAATATGGACCTCAATGTGAACCAATTTGGTAACAGGGCACAAAATCGAAAATCTATAAATACACGGTTGGTTTCAGCATATCGAAGGACCCATATATTCAATTTGTGTTGACTTAAAGGGGCACTAGCTGTCAAATTCATGTTCACCGATTTGACTCATATTCTCATATTTGATTTATTACCATGTAAAACATTTATCCAAATTATAAAAAGTCTAAAATAAACAATTTACAGGGCATGGGCTCGATAATATGTAGTTTCTTTTCGTGTGTATTTTAGTCTTGACGCCATCTAATTAACTATCGAGTTGACCTCCGGAAACCTCCGATGGTCATATAAGCGATATATTTGTTTTTTCCGGTCCGATGTTATACAGGGCTAACACCACAATATTTATAAATACTTCGACTCAAACTTAGCCCAACAATGTTGTACCTGCAAAATTTGCATGAGCAGAGTTTTGTTTTGTTTTGTACTATCCTCAAAGGTAAATGAAATACTTTACTTAAATTAAAGTGCCGGGAACAAAAGTTAAAATTATCATTATTCGCATTGCATCACAACATTCAATATACGATAACTTACGTATTCGCCTATGTTTGAAAACATGACACACATAAAATATATTTTTAAATTCCATTTGTAAAAGACTAAAAATGTCTACTAACACCGCCATGAACAATGTATGTGATCTTTTTTTTTTATCTTTCCCAGAAGACATGCACTAAAACATTGAACTTATATATAATAATATTTAGTCAGGTTTTGGGCAGTGTATATTATGTGACATTCCCGACTTCAGACTTGTCTAAAACATGAATTTCACTTATATTACTTGGTTTGTTTGTTATGGTGATTTTTTTAATGTATTTTGACCACTATTAATTTTGAAAAACACAGCCAGCCTTCTGTTTTACAGGACAAGTGAAATATTTTGTTATTTGCTGTACAAATAGCTTTCTCGTGTGGGCAATATTTATAATAATACATTCAGCCATTTTTTTATTATTTGTTGCGAAAATACAGTGATTTTGAATTTAAAAAAAAAGGTACAATTGAAGGATACTCATAATTATTTACCCTATTTGAGCCTCTGACATTCTTGTGTATCATATGACGACTACATTGTGGTTACAATTGGGGGAAAAGACGTCTTACATACACTGGTTGTTTACGAAATATGTACTGACATCTCTATGTAATTATCAATAAAATCACTAAACTCTAGATTTTATCAATAAAATCACTAAAATCTAGACTTACTCTTAATGGCGACTCAATTGCGTCATTTTTTTGTGTAATTTCAGTGTATCGGATTTATTTGCCCTTGATGGGCCCTGAAATTTAGAAAAATATAATATTATTATATTTTGTTTTATTCTATTTTATACATGTAAGACTATTTAAACTATTTAAATAGATATATGGGGACGATACGCTTTTCGGATGGGGGATATAGGGGGTAAAAGAGTGGGTAAGTGGGATATATAGGAGGTAAAAACGTGGGAAAGTGTGTGATTAAGGGGTGAAAAAGTGGGATCTGGGGAAAAGAAGGACAAAAGTGAGAAGTGACCACATGTTTGTCCTTAGATCCCTTTTTTCAGGCTGATATCCAGTCGAAGTTTAATGTAGGTGCAAAATTTAGGATTGCTTGCATCATATATAAATCAAATCAAATCAAATCAAATCAAATATTTATTATTCCAATCATGGTCCCACAGGGGGCATTTACAATTAACAATTATGATAGTATAAGCAACAAACATGAGACATTGTACAGTATATAACGTGACAGATATTATAATAGACAATGAAAATAGCATTAATAACAAAAATACATTAAAAGTACTCGTGAGTATTTTTTTCCCCTTCCTTCCTTATGTCCAGCAGTGTAAAAAAAAAAAAAAAAAAAAAAAGTATTAATAATAAAGTTTGAACAAACTTAAATTATTATCTATAAAGATGGAAATTTGTTAATCTGCAGGAGACACCAAGGGACGGTGCTCTAGGATATACTGTTGATTGCGATAGGCAATAACAGCAATCCTCCCCGTGTCAGAAGCAGATGAACAAAGTAAATAGAGAAACTGAATCCGGTCAATTAACAAATAATTATTTTTTTTTTTAAATAACAACAAACATGTCATATAAATCTGCTATTTGCAGTGTTTAACCAGGAATATACACAAATCTTTTAATACAGTTAAGTTCTCACAAGACAACAGCCATAGCAATTTCTCTTGGGAATTTAAGTTAATGAAATTGTGACATGATTCCGAAATAATGTCATATAAATGGTGTCTGTCTTCCTTATATTTTGTGCAATAAAAGAGAAAATGAACTTCATCTTCAACATGACCAGAGTTACACTGCTGACATAGTCTAAGGTGTGGAGGAGTACCCTGGTATCGTCCTATTTCAATCTGCAAATGGTGATATGACACCCTAAATTTTGTTAATGATCTCCTAAGTTCAAAATTGGACATGATATTTAGATATTTTTCGAAACCATAATTATTCTTAAATTTTACATAAGTGCGGAGCTTCCCTTCTGAATTCTTGGTCAGTTGATCCTTCCAAATTTTTATGCATGACTCTTTCAATATTTTCCTGATGGTATTTTTTGAAATATTTTCCCCATCATTTAGGTTTGCAAACCTAGGAAGAGTTTTTAAAATTTGTTGAAGAGAGCCATACCATGACGATTTATGCTGAGAAAATAAAGTTTTTGAATGCTGGTATGCATCTTGTAATAAAGGAAATGAGTCTAAATTTTCTAGTCTAAGCCAATAATTCAAAATAGATTTGACTAAGTCAAAGTACAGTGGAAACCGACCAAGTTCAGATAAGGCTGCAAAATTTGTGGTTTTTTTGTGCACACCCAGAATAAATTTACAAAATTTACTGTGTAGCTTTTCACAAGTTAAATTCGAATAAATTTTATCTAATGTTAACTGGTTTCCAGATCTAAATTTTGCAATAAAGGGATTAAATGAGCTCCAAATTTCACTTCCATAAAGAAGAATAGGCTTAATAGTATGATCAAAAACATGTATACTAGTTTTTAAGCTAAGATTTAGAGATAATAAATCTTTTCTAAGTTTAAAATATGCTTTTAAAGCTTTCTTGTATAATTCATTCTGAGCATAGGAGAATGTACCTGAAGCACTAAAATACACACCTAGATATTTACAATGTTGTACACATTCTATATCATATTCTTTGTATTTAAATTTGAGGCGGATATGTCTGCCTGCCTTGTTGAAAATCACAATTTTTGTTTTATTAGGGTTGAGAGTAAGACACCAATCTTGACAATATTTTCCCATAATATCAAGTTTTGATTGAAGACCAGTAGCTGTAGTAGATAGTAAAATGATATCATCGGCATACATCAGACAATGGATAGATCGCCCATTTATATTTACAGGGTCTAGAGATTTTTCCAAATAGTTGGGAAGGTCATTGATGAAAACCTTAAACAGGTTAGGACTTAGATTATCTCCCTGTTTAACTCCAAGCTGTATAGGGAAGAAATCAGTAATGCTGTTCTTAATTCGAATGCAGGATTTGCTTACCTCATACATTTGCTTAATGATATTGTAAAATAATGTGCCTACACCAATTTTTAAAAGCTTAATTTTCAATCCGGTGTGAATAACAGTGTCAAAAGCCTTTTGAAAATCAACAAAGCAGGCATACACCCTACCGTCTTTTGAATTACAATATTCAACTATAATACATTTCAAAATAAATAAATGATGACAAGTTCTAGCCTTTCTTGTAAAACCTATCTGACACTCATGTATGATATTGTGTTTATCCATACATACATCAAGCCTATTATTTAACACACTGTTGAATAATTTTCCTATGGCACTAGTTACTGCAATACCCCTGTAATTATTTGGATCAGATATATCGTTAGATTTATGTACTGGTGTAATATATCCAAGAGCCCAAGCACAGGGATAATTACCACTTGACAGACAAGCATTAAATAGCTTATGAATACAAGGAATAAGAGCAGTTTGTCCACATTTAAGCATGTTATTAGATAAATGATCTAGTCCTGGCGACTTGTTATATTTCAGTTTTGATATAGCTTTAGAAATTTCTTCTTGACTAATTAGCATGTCAAGTTCATTAAAGATTTTTTCTTTTTGTAGACTGTCTAGTAATTTATCAAGTTCGCTAAGGCGTTGTTTGAAACTGTCTTTTACTTCATTTAAATTTTTGAAGTGATTTACCCAGGTGGATGGATCAACGGCAGAACTTTTATGGTCTCTTTCTCTCATATCTCTCAAGTCATTAACAAGATTCCAATAAAGCTTTGGATTATTCTCATGAAGAGATTCCAACTGGGTCAATATTGACTGCCTATGCTGTCTATATTTAAACTTACGTAGTTTTTTATACTCTCGATAAAGTTTGTAGTAATGGTTTCTCACGAAATTGTCCTTTGGAAATTTGCTATATATACGAGCATATCTGATGAGGTTTTGTCTAGTTTTCCCAAGATCTTTGTCAAACCATTTTTTATTTTTAGATTTTGAGGGAGAAGTTTTTACAAATTTTGGCTTTTTGAGAGATGAATGTGCAGCTGACAGTATAAGATCAGTAAGTTCTGTCGTCGCTTCATCCACTGACACTTGTGTGTCTTTAATACAATTATTGTTAAACTCTAAAAGCTTGTTTTGTATATCTGATGAACACATTGCAAGCTGGAACTTATAAGAAGAATCATCAGACCAAATAAAATTAGGTTCCATAGGTTGTATACAGACATTATCATCTTTTTGTATAGTGTACTTAGCTGACATTGTCCATTCCAGCTTGCAATGAGTATCTGATAAGGTAGGTATAAAGTCAGCTACCTTAAAATGTAAAACCTGATCCAGGATACCCTCCGACACCATAACATAATCTAACACACTTGCTCCATTAGGAGTATAACATGTAAAGTGGCCAAACATATCACCAAGGGTGCGACCATTAAGGATTCGTATTTGTTGACTCACACATAAATCCAATAGTTCTTTGCCTCTTGTATCTATGGTCATATCTGGACTATATCTATTGAGTATTTTTTTATCAATAGGATAATTATCATAGACTGGCGTGTATCGGTGGTCATCATGTAAAATGAAATCAGATTGTACTGATATTCTTGCATTAAAGTCCCCGCAAAGAAGAATGTTTCCTACCCTCTGATATTTACATATATCTGCTTCAATACAATCCAGGATATCTTTATCTAGACCCTTGGTGTATGCTGAGCCACTAGGTGGATAATAAACAATACAAATATATAAATCATTGTCAAAACCAAAAAAATCCATATCAAGTTTAATCCATTGATAGTCAGGATTAGTATTTCTTAATATTTTAACATGAGTTTTTACAGCTGGCTTTCTCAAAATTGCCAAACCGCCAAAATGACGATTATTGTGCTTTGATGTTGGTCTACATACTGGGTGATAATGAAATTGACCAATGTTAAAAATGTTGGCATTATATCCTAGATGTGTTTCAGCTAGAAAAACTATATCATATTTGTTTATTACTTTTAAAAAGAGTGGGTCTGTTGTCTTAACATTAGTTTTAGATATTAAGCCCCCTGTGTTCCAAAAGTACATTTTGATACATGCACTAGATCTTGAATTGATTGGCA